ATATCTTTTAATTTTGAGCATTTGTCTTATAAATTATAACTTTGAATATTCTATTCTAGCATTTTGATGCAATTTAAAACAGAATATAAATAGCGTTATTCAAAATATTATACCATTTATTTTCTCATTTCTTGTCCATGATATGAGTCTGGCCCAGATGCGTATCGTTGTATCTCTGGTTCATGTACACAGAACACGTTATTGGGGGATACCTGAAGACAATTAGTCAAAAGGGTTTTAAAGAGCTATCTCCATCAAAATAAAATAAGAAAAGAAAAGCAAAAGAATCAAAGAATTTCAAGATTTTGAATTAGCCATGAATGACTTGTAAAATAAAACTAAAATGAACGATTTTGGAAAAACAAAATTGCGTACTTGGGTGGGTTCATCTCAGATGTGCAGGATGGCAAACACTCCACAATGCATTCAGGCTTTGGGTCCGCAAAAAATGCAACCTGTTTAAATGAGGAGAACAGAAATAAGAAAATTAAAATGGGGCATACTTTTTAAGAAATATAATCCGCCTGAATTCCAAATTATCCTATAAGGATAGAGAATATACATCTAACAATGGTTTCTTTCCTCAAGTTCAGTGATGATACAAACAACATAATGGCATAATTTCAAAGAAATTGAACATTATATATTCCATAAACTTGCAAATAGTGAAGGATTACAAATTACACATTCACATTAGTTTCATAGGAGTTCTAATTTGTAGTAGACTAATAAATTTTAGAGCGGCGCTATTGAGCTCCAAACACACTGTTAGGAGTCTGGATTTAGTGGTGGATAACATTTGCTATTCAAAATCTTTGGATTTACATAGTAGCATGCCACCCGCTCTTTTCGAACTGCTCGATTTGCGATTAAATAACATTTTCCAAGATTCCATGTTAGTGGCGAGATCTACTCCCTTAGCAATTCTTTCCAGATCTATGGAAGCTAAGGCTGAAGGATAAAGCTTAATGTCCCATAAATATATTCCCAACACAATAGGACATTGATAGGAAATAAGAGAAAACACAAAATTCTGCTCCAGAAATAAACAATCAGACACACTTCAAGCAATTTTTGAGAGAAAAACAGAGAAATAACGGAGAGAAAACTTTTAATTTGATAGTAGATGAAATAAAATAGCAAGATATAGTTGAATCTTCAATTGGAGAGGAAGATCCTACTCTCCCAATCTCTAGCCGGAGGCTAGAGCCCAAGCAAAACCTAAAAAACACCAAATTCTACAAAACATACAATATAACCCTAACACTAGAACAAAAAATTGGAATCAAATTGGTATCAAAGCTACTTTTCGGGGCTGGTTTGGGGCGGTTTTGGCTAATTCCAGCAGAAGTTTTTCATATTCAGACCTTTGGTGTGGCAGTTTTTTGGGAAGAAATACTGATTTTTGAGTCTCACAACAATTCATGTATCAATGGCGGCCAAGAATGTGGATGCGTTGGAGGAAAGCCATGAGGGGGAGATGAGCCAAATAAAGGCAACGGTGGAAGATAAAATTTCCTCCATGGAAGAGCAATTTTCTGACTTACGTGACATGGTAAAGAAAATGTTGGATCTCCACAACCAAACGACGGCATTAGAGGTGAAAGTGTGAGAAGAAAAAAATATGAATTCTAAAATTCATAGGGACAAAAATGAGGTGGAGATCATCTAGGGAGAAGAGAGAAAACCCCATATGGAGCATTTCCAGAGGGACGAGAGAGGAGGTAGGTATGGGGATGGGAAAGGAGCAAGGGGATGCTAATTGTGAACAAAGGGAGGTAGATCATGGCCGCCGAGGTGCTGATTTTGAAGGAAGGATGGGAATTCGAAGAAGGATTTGGGTATGAACGTCCGAGGGATGATTGGGAGACTTGGGGAGGACCGCCCACTTGAGAAGGGGAAATTATGGAGGAATCAAGGGAAATGGGGGAGATCCGAAGATCCATCTAGGATGACCACAACTTTCTTACTCCCAAGGGACTAGCGCCATGAAGCCTGCATTAGGCCCTAAAGGAGAAGCCTGGAAGAGGGGGATTTGGGTGGAACTTCGAGAAGCTGATTAAGGAGTTGTAGGAGAAGAGGGCAAAGAGATTGTGCTTCAAGTCTGATGAGAGGTTGTGGGCTCCGAAAATTAGGCATCGGCCTCCCCGCCGCGCTGATCTGCTTTTTGCTCTAGCAAGGGAGCGTTTTAACGAACTAAGTTCCGGGGTAAATTTTGGAAGGCAGATGGGTTTGTAGATAAGACACTACCCAGAGATTTTGCCCTCATTTGATGAGGACTTTATGATATGAGTTCTGGTTTCCTATAAGCGCAAGCCCCTATAGT